AATTTTCCAATGTTTTCCTTTGCTCCAATTATTGCCATTAATACACAGGTAGGGGTGAACTCTTACGCAGATGCAAACAATGATTTTCTAGCCGTTATTAAAGTTGAGTTGAAGGTTTATTGAAGTGACTTGATGGAGATATGAGAACAAAAAACATACCATTTCCAGTGAAATGTAGCCAGTAGAATGAATGAATTGTAGTTGGTCTGAATGCTGGTCTGTAACATAAATGCTGGTCTGGTGATAACTGTCTGTGCTTCCCCTACCTGTGCCTTCCCTTTCCTGTCACCTGTGCCACTATATATACACGCCCCTGTGCATTCAGTGTCCCTAGTGGAAAATAATATATTCAGATAAATCTAATTATAAAACATGCCAACGATAAACACAAAATGGCTCCTACATACATAATACATTATGAGATTATTTGTACTCATCCAAGACCATTTAGGTCAGACACACATAAATAAAGCAATAACAGAACTTTACAATTTACTCTGAACATTGTATTCTTTTTATCAAAACACAATTTCCTTTTTCAGGATATAACGTCTGTAGAGGGATGTGTACACCCAAGTCCTTGTTGTGTTCCATGTTCTCTTCCGAAACATGGAGAGAGAGGGGATGTTGAATCCTGATGATGAGGTTCACCTTTTTACACTCTACTGGACTTTTCTGCCTCAACTTCAGAGGTAACTTTCCTTCTTTATGGAGGCCTGGAACCATCACAGCCTGAGAACAGCGGGAAGCCAGTCTCCATACCAACTTTGGACAGCATTCAGAAACGTTGAAGATCCTGATCAGGTATATAACAATGTTTGGGTGTATTGTTTGAGTAACCACTATTTAATTGTAAATTTAAAATGCCTAAACTAATGATATGGTTAGATTTCAAATAATGTGATATTTTAGATTAAGAGAATTGAAGCCATAAGTAAACATTATAAGCTTTTGAATGTTACAACTTAGATACACTATCTTTACAGTTTGATAAAACAATGAATCCAGAGTTTATAAACTTCAAACTATAATTGTCTAAAATTTGTATGAAGGTGGAGGCAGATTATGGAATTGATTGGGATGGACCGTATGGCTACGATGACCTTGGAGGTGGAGTTCAAATCCCAGAAGTGCAGTTGCAGAAGGACATGACTGACAAATGTTGTGGATTCTTCTGTTGGTAATGAAAGATCTCAAGTCAAAGTCTTTTGTCTTTGTGTATTTTATTGCATATAGTAAAGAGTTCTTTTGCAAAAGGGGTAATCAGCTGCAAAAGTAACATCAGTCACAAGTGCATCAAAGAGTCCCGGGGCAGTCCTGGTTGCAGAGCATATTTATACTTTCACAGGGCGTAGGTATTTTGTATACACGAGTGATACATCGTCATTGGTTTCAGCTTGCCTTAGTGACTACGCCTTCTGCTAGTTTGCCTGGTGATTTATCTATGCAAGCTTCTTTCTGTAAAGTACCTGGTATGGAGGAACACCAACAGAAACTCCTTTGTCAGGAGGGCACTGATTTAGGGTCACGCTGAACCCAGATCCTGAGGAGTGTTCCTGTTGGAGATACAGACCAAGGCCATACAGAGAAACCGTTTCTAATTGTTAAATGACGCACAAACATCCTAATCTTTTAAGGTCAAATGAAGGCAACAGACAGGTAGTATTTTTCCACGACTGGAAGATATGGCCAGATTATCTGACCCCAATGTCCCCTTCTTAGATGCAGTTGACATCTACAGTGCTGCAGTCCAGCAGTTAAGACAGTGACTTTGTGAATTGTTTACACACTCTAGGTTCAGTCTAAATGCATTTGTTTTGTTTTCCCCAGTTGGATAAATGTGAGTGAGAGTGCAGAGCAAAGAGGTGCATTCAAAAGGCTCAAAGTGAAATGAAAACACAGAGCTAAACAAATTTGACTTTTTATTTACATTACTCCCCAGAGGAATTCATTGGCAAAACTGTTAACAATTTTAACAACTTAAATTGGTCAATAAATGGTAACAATGGTCAATGAAATTGAACAAAGTCTAAGTTGCATGAACCAATTTCTTTCAACAAACAACTGTGCCACTACTTTGAAACACATTTTACGACATTGCATCTTTAGAACAAATCAAGGTCTCAGCTGTATATTATAATCAGATCATTCCGAACCCAAAATCTGTACTACCCACAGATGCCTTGAGATTGTCTGTGAAAGTCTGGTATGTTCGGCATTTCAGAGGCAGTTTCAACGTTGTGAGGCAGGTTGACGCTACAGGCAGATTAATATCAGGAGAAACTTCTACATACAGGTGCTGGGGAGGGATACTCCAACCTGTCCAAAACTGAAGGAGTTTGTGCAGTTCCTAAAGAGACATGGTCATAAATTAAATAGTTTTCGAAACCTACGGTAAGTATTTGCTTTAATGATGTTATTGAGATATCTTATTTCAGGGAATATCAGAAGTTAACCCTCAAAGCATTAGTCACTGTTTCACTTGAAAATGTTTTTTCAAAAGAGTACTTTCTACAGTACTGTAATACACAAGTTAAAGGTTTACAATGTAGATTTTTTTTAGATTTTACACTGACGTGTAGCCAGACTGAATCAATTAATGATTGATCTAAAGTGTGAGAACTCAGCAACAGATTTAAACTGTTAAAATCTATTATTTCTAAGATAAAATCTACATTTATCTTGCCATTTCAGTTAAGGACTACAACTTAGGCCCTGAAGCAGATAAATAAGTCTCCCCTGTGCGCCCTGACCACAGAGTGTTTACATGAAGCGTTTGTGCGCTGAAAAGAAAAGTGCTTCACCTCCGTCCAGTCTCTATGACAACAGTGTGTTGTCAACAGCCGCTGTGTGACATACCCTGCTGCGTCACTTTTTACTGCATGTTTTATATTTGAGATCATTTTTACCCCAGCAGAAATGGAGCAAATAGGATGTGGGTAAAAGATATGATCCGTAGTAAGCTAAAATACGGGGAATATCATACATTTCCAAATTGAGCGTGCAGAGCCGGCACACAGAAAAGGCGCAAAGATGCTGGATGGGCGCCTTTTCTCTGGGAGGCAGCCTGCTGCTGCAAATGCTCTCTCCTCATTGAAACGCTGGCGTTTATAAACACGCTACGACCTGTGACAGAACAGTAATTTGGCCAAAAATTACATGTTTCCCATACAGTTTCAAGTCGTTTACAGTTAAATCATGTAAGTGCAACCATTAGCATGTTATTTAACTAGAATTTTATCACAGGACCATTGCTGTGAAAGCTAAAATCTTATCTCAAACCCTAGGTCGGCGATCGGGAGCAGAAGATGTAGCATTTGGAGAAGTGCGGGCCGTAGGTGGTGGTGACTGTCCTTGCTGCTGTTCTAAAGCGGCAGCTGCCTCCCGCAGAAGTTCTACAACGGACTTTGCCATGTCTCCCGCTTATTTCCTTCCAACTCGACTGTACAGGGTCAAACTGATCGTTCTATTCCTGTTCTATGGACTTAGTGGCTAACAGCTTGCACCAGCGTTAAAGATGCACACGGCCACCTATCATACTGGATGCGTAGCGCGGTCGGCCTGTGAGCTGAAGTCTGACGTCACTTTCCTGCACCGTCCACTTTGCCATTTATTTAATTTTAAAGAGTTTGTTTGAATTATGAGAACTATTTAGCACAGCAAGTTTGAAAACGAAAAGCCAAAGACCTTTTTTGTTTTCATTTGAATTATGTCATACAAAAAGCATAAAAAGCAAAATGTGCATTTTTAAAGTTGAAAACTAAAATGCAAATTAGGTAAATGAATCATTTTATTTTTGATTCAAATAATACACCCATAACCTGAAAATTAAAAAGCATTTCTGTTAATGCATTTTCATTTTCAAATTAGCTTTATCATTTGAATTATGATCACTAATCGCTTCCATAGTTGTTTACGTCCCCATTCCAGGACTGGAAACCAGTTACACCGGGCCAAGCATACTGCAAGATAATCAGACTACACATTACTGTTTGTACGCAGTATATACTGCATACTGATCTCGATAGTAGTGTGTAGTATGCGGTTTAGAATACAGACTCTGGGTGCATCCGAATTGCCAAGTACCTACTCAGTCTGTCAGTAGTCAGTACCTACTATCCGTGCTGTTTACTACCTACTATTCAGTAGGCGCGCACAGTAAACAGATATTTGTTCCTACTTCGTCTGATTCATTCAGTATGGAAGTGGCGTCATTTACGTTACCCGAACCAGCCGCATTCACCTTTTTTTTTTTGTTTAGCTTTATTCAAGAAGAGTAATGCGCATATACAGTCAGGTAAACAAAATAATATCACAATGTAAATCAAGTAAAAGACAGATTAAATAACTAAATAACATACAGTACAAATGAAAGACAGTAATATACAAAATATAAAGTGAACCAATAAAGACGCATTTAAATAGTGAAATCATTATTTAAATAAAGGGGGAAAGGTTTGATAATAATGTAGATATGTTATATTTTTTGTTGTTAACTAAAAGTAGCGATTTCAGTTGGGACTTTAAATTAAGATTCTATTAATCCACGCTCGTCTATTTTGATTTGGAGGCGCACGTGAAGTGACGATTTACGTTTAATTTCGCACAGCATTGTGGGTGGTAAAATACAATTCATTTCCTGAAAGCACGCATCCGATCCATACTGCATGAAACCCAGAAGTTAGTATCCATACTGAAATGTTCAGTATACTGAGCCACAGTTCAGTAGGCAGTGCATACTTTTCAGTAGGGAGTTAGGGTTAACCCTTTCGTGGTCATTCAGGATGCATTTTTTGGGTCCACCTCAATATACTGAACATTTCAGTATATTGAGGTGGAAGGCACATCTTCAAACCGCCAATCAGACAGTCCTGTCCTCCCCCTTCCCATGGAGCTGTCATCAGGTGGTGCCCATGCTGAGGATATTTTAAATAATTAAAATGTATGTTCATTTTTTAAGTACTGTATCGCTGGTGGAGCATTTATTAAAACGCAAGACACATGGTTACCGGTTTTGTATTACAATTTTCTATTTTTCACAAAAACAGGCCTTCTATTCAAAATACAATCTTTTTTTTACGGGCACCTTTTACCCTCCATACAATAATTTATACACTTAACATTACCATTAAAGCAATTACATCCCAAATAAGTCCGTGCACCACACACATTACTTTTACTGTAGTTATATGTGTGCTGAATGTCTGAGGAAGTCAGTGTTTTATTTAGGTAGGGGAAATCCTACAACTCCATCCAGCCAGGCTTGAGGCCTGCTTTTTCAGGGAATCGCTGTGAATCAAGGTCCAGTTGCCTTTGAGGCTGTTCCTTTAGATCTTCATCTTCATCTTCATCTTCATCTTCAGATGTGTCACCAGTGTTCAAAGTCTTGAAACACATCCTCCACAGCAGCAGCAGCACATCAGCTCACCAAGGGCTTGAAGTCTCTGGTAATTGATTGAATGCTTGTTAGCATAAGCTTCACTTTGCATGAATGCTGATTGATGGGGAGATTTGACTCACCAGGTAAAGAAAAGGTCCAGCTTTATGTCCAGGGTTCAAAGTACAAGTTTTAACTTTCAGAAGTTCTCATTGACTGTGTCCTGCTACCTTCTGGCTGACTGTTTGTGAATCAGCTCGATCAGGTGATTAGTTCACCTGGGGAAAGGGGGTGGATGACTGTTGGCTGCAGACTGCATCCAATTGGCTCAGGTGATATGATTGACAGCTGCTGTTGTCCAATGGGAGGGACTATTTCCGCAGCGTTAAACAAGCTAACTGCCTCATTAAAACTGAATACGGCCCTTTTTCAAACCAACCCCTACACACTCACCCACTCCGTTAGAAGTGACACTCTCAGCTGAATGAAGTCTCCTTCATCAAGGTGTAGGGTAGAAATACAGTGGCAGGCTTTGGGAAAAACTTTCCTCTCTAAGGTGGAAACAGGAACTGTGTGTTACCATGGTTACTCAGCGGTATCTTGCGTGAACAGCTTTTTTTTGGTAGCTAATGCATTTTGTAAAAATATTTATGTAGCCTAGATTCTTCTTTTTCTTTAGTTATATTAGTGTAGACTTACAACAAAACTATTAGATTGAGCCTACATTGTTTATTGTATTCTATAATTTCAGTTAATTTTTTGTAACTTTATAGAACAGGGTGTCCTAAATTAATGCAAAGACATGGATAATATCATTGAACATCAGAGCAGGAAAAAGTGTATTTTTTTTGTTGAATTGAATTAAGATTTCACAAAGACATCAAAAGTAGAAAAATTAAGAATAAATATTAACAGCGAAAAGTTGTCTGCAACATGATTTAATATTATTTTGTTTTTGCAACAGTAAACAGTAAATATAAAACAATAAATAAACATTAATTTGATCCTCAAAACACATGTGAAGTTGTTAATGTCTGTATGAGGATATTAAATGTCTATCTTAGTTGGAGCAGTGTTTATTGACACTTGAACTCACAGGTTGCTTCATCCATGACGACCGGACACAATAGGCGTTGCACATGATCCGAAAGTCGGCATCGGTGCACACTCGCTGGTGGAGGGTTTTATAACCCACTACCACTCCCCGCTAGTTGGTTTGGGACGGACTTAATATGGCGGACCCTCCGCGAGGACGCGCAAACAGAGGGGTAGTGGGTAGGGAGAGGGTGTAGTGGCTGGTTTGAAAAAGGGCCTTTCTCTCCCTGTACAGCTCAACGGGCACTTCACATTGCATGGTCAAAGAGTCCCATCTAGTGGCTAAAACCCACCACTGGAATACTGGTTTATCAACGACCAAAAAGTGTCACATATTTATATATATCTTTTAGAAAGATATTAAGTAGTAAGAGGCTAACTTTAACCACTGTTTAAAAAAACAAGAAAAGCTGTTTTATGAGTAAGTAGTTGGTTCTCAAAGGAGCCATTTTTAAGAGCAGCAGAAGAAGAAGGTTTAGGTATTAATAGATAGTTAGCAGGTGAGGTGATGTTCTGCCAGAGCACTTCACCAGCAGCAGACAGGAAGTAGCTGCTGAAGTTGACCCACACAGGGATGGCCATAGCCGCAGCGTGGGGTCAGTCTGTGGTGGCGAGCACCATTCTCCAGCGTTGTAGGCAGCATCTATGGCTGTCACATTAGAATTAAACCCCCAAGGGCTGATGATCAATTATATTATATCAGAAAATGATTTTATTCTATTCAAATGCGAGCTGTGAGACCAGTAGTGTCAGTTTTTAGATGTGTTCGTTGGATACCCCGGCTCAGTGCATGACTCGAGTTTAAAACAATAGCCCTCTTTACATTCAGAGCCTTTATCGGGCTGAAGGCTGCTGCATTCTGGGTCATTGGAGAGATCCCTGTACAGTATGTTGCGACCAGTCAACCTCATAATGCCGTACAGGGAGCTTTGAAAAATGCAGCGGCAGCACGGTTCAACAGGCGCCATGCAAAGGGCCGTTTTATTATTGATAGGACATTCGGCGTCTTGTAGACCACGTGGCGCTCCATGGAAGTGAGGCCTCTGGTATACCAGCGATCATTTGACTACTTTGGTTCCCTTTTTTTGGACGAGCCGAGGTTTTGGGGGAGCAAACGGCTGCATCAGTGGATTATTTTTGTTGGATTTAAAAAGAGGCTAAAAGACAGTTTAACCTGAATGTTTCTTAATATATATTTTGTTTGTGGGGGACTACAAATGGATAAATTAAAGGGATATTTTTGTTGTAATTCATTTTTTTGTTGAAGCAAAGCTCCGTGTGGTTGTACAGTTCTTTGGGGATTTCATCAACGACAAGAATTACTGAGATAATCTGTGTTGTTTTAAATGTATTAATTTTCACAATGATTTAAACTGTGTAGGTTGATTTTCCTGAAGAATCCCAGGTGTGATTAAAGCTGACTATAAAAGGTCGAGTGTTACAATTTGCTCCGACATTGGACCAGGTTGCACACTAGTCTGGGAAAGTATGTCTGTGTTAAATTCTGCTAAATCAATGACAGAATCACTGCAGAAATAAAGTCTTTCAAATATTATCATCTGGCTGAAATTAAACTGCCACACTTCTTTACTTTGTGTTTTGATATTTACTACATAAGTTGGTTTCTCTTTTCTCTAGGGATCCAGTACAGACAACGTAGACATGCTGATTCACATTCGATGAATGTGAATCAGCATGCCTATCAAACTGCCAACAGATATGTATATGTATGTGTGTGTGTGTGTGTGTACCTCCATAAGAGGGGTCTTCGGCGTCGTTACACACTCAAAAAGAGGGGTATTGCCAGAAAACGGGTAATTTTTTTAGTCCCCACTAGGACACATGCTTTAAATCTTACTAAAATCATGTCAAAACCACTCTGGTGAAGTTTTACAACTTTTGCCAAGAGGGGACCTGCAGGTGTGTGGGAGTGTTTAAGGCCCTTCTCTGCAGTGCGCACAGAGTATGTGTGAATTGCGGGTAACACTCCTCCATTGTTTCAATGGCCCCAGCCCCAGGAGGTCTTTCTAACTGTAGAGAGGCTGTTAACATGCCACTTAAGAGAAGGAAAACAGGCTTTTTTTTGGTGTTCTTCCATAAATATAAACCATTTCAAGATTCAACCACCACAACAATCACAATATAATCATCTATTAGACCAGCAACTTTATCAGCAAGTGTCCACATTAATTAAATCCAGTGAAAAAAGTAATCCAAACACATGATTACATCCATAAAAGTCCACAAGTTGCTGTAATATGATTTCATACATGTCATGAGATAATGACATAATTTCACTTCACAATATTCCACGGTATTATCTGTGATACTTTACATATACAAGTGAAAATATGCTATTGTGATGGAGCAAAATGGAGGCTGAAGTGTGACCTTTCAATTGACACCTCGATTAGCCAATAACAACCTTCCATTCAGTGCCTAGCCCCCTCAATAGCCAATGCATGCGTGGGTCAACGAGAGGTACCTACCTCTCTTTATGTATACAGCCCCAGCCAATTACGTAAATGATTGACCTGTCTTGTAGCCAATAAAATTATGAAGAAGATGATATATGGCTTCCATTGGTAGCTCAGAAACCACAACAGATACCAACGTGCGCAACCAGAGATGTGTTGTGTTTTGTGCGCAGTAGCCAGGTAAATAAATAACATCGCAAGACAAACTAAAACAGAAATACACATCTCTGTAGCACATGGGATATTGGCTGTGCTGGTTTTTAAACCGTTTCCCTGCTTTGTTACGGAAATGGAAATGTTTTCTTAATGCTTAAAAATTGGTTTAATAAATGAAATTATAATTCTCAAGGCAGTAGGTGGCTAGTGCTTTATATTTAAACAATGGAAAACTGTGTATTAAGGCACACACCAAATGAATTAATCAAGATCATCTTTACTGCCAAATATAATGTGAACAGAGTACTGTGTGTTTCGGTAAATAACAATAAATAGAATAGGGACTAACACTAACTGAAGAAATAAAAAAAACATGTAGAATTATCTTAGACATTAAACACTTCAAAGAAATGTGCAATGAATAAGCATTACATCAAACCTGAGGACAGTCAGACAATTTCTGCCTGTATGACAATAAAACCAGTGTTATAACATTCAACTTTCTCAAAAATACATTAATATAGTATGAAAAGTATAAAATCATATCTTCAAATATCATCTCCTATAACAAAACATAATTAACTTATAATTTAATTTTAAAACTCAGATTTGTGCAGCGCTCTTGCCACTAGGGGGCAATCGTGCTCCACGTAAGATTTAGTGAAAGTTCATCAGGTAATATAAGAAGACTTTCTACATGTATAATGCCGTCATAGATTCGTAGCGGAATCTAACTCATGAAACTGTTACTCTTGATGTCTCAATTATATATCTCCAATTCAGGGGTTGAAGAGACAGTCTTTCATATCAGAAATTGAGTATATTGGTTAGGACAGATTGTTCAACAGCTGTTACGTCAGTTTTGAGATAGTCTAGAGCACATTTTCTTGAAATTCCAATGCAAAGTCTCTTTCAAACAGTTAATCAATGAGTTGTGTTTTCTCATCAGCAAACAGGAAAGGGGGTTTTTGGGTGAATTTGAGGTTATTCCAGGGTAACATGTTACAATCTCTTCTGGTGTTTGGGGACAACCGTCTGCTGTCTGGATTTTGTCCTGTGAACAACATAGAAAAACTGTCTCAAGAATTGACAAAGAACAAATCTACACAGTCTTTGAAATTATCATGTATTTTTCACAACTTAGGTTACAATGTCAAACTCCTTAATACCATTTCACACGAAGACAATCTGTGTATGTGTGAGAAACATTGAGACTAAATAGACACATTGGTAAACAGACACAGGTGAAGACAGTGAGGGCAATCAAAACGAAACACACAGCGGCAGAAAGTTACAATGTTACAATTCACTTAGACGCTTTTATCCAAAATGACATACATCACCACAGTAGCAGCGGGACCAATTCAGGGTTAAGTGTCTTGCCCAAGGACACATCGGACCTGTTGCTCAGCTGGGGATCAAACCCTTAACCTTTTGGTCAAGAGGCGACAACTCCACCAACTGATCCACAGCCACCCCAGTAAATACAAGAAACACTGAAGACACAGAAACTCAAGAATGTAACATCAAGACACACTTCAACACAAACACAAGGATAACAGATTACAGTAAAAAGCTTCATGTATATTTTTAGCTAATTCCAGCTAACATGGTTATTTGTTGACCATGTTCCCTGAGTGGGATTTTTACCTTTTATTCTATGTTTCCTGGCAGTGTTCAAATGTATAATGTAGCGGTAAATATAGACGTAGTTTAGAGAAATAACTAGAGTAAGTATTTCCTGACATGAAGTCACCCACTTCTTGCTGGTCCAGACAAGTGGACAGAGCCGGGTGGGGGTTGGTGGCCCTGAGGTAAGCCAGGCCACCCTCCCCTTTCAGGTGCTCCACCTCCAGGCCAGCGCTGTTCTGCTTAGCAAGGTGGACATACAGCCAGGTCAACTAGAACCCACAGCCAGTGACAGGACACTCCTTTCGGATATTAATCCTGCCACTGGCCATGGTGAGCAGGATCCTCTTCTCCTTGTTAGTCACAAGTACTGGCTGCTCAGGTGCTTATGGAGGCAACTTAGGGTCTTAAAGCACACTGGACAGGACTTCATTCTAAATAAAGACAAAAAATAAATATAAAAGAGTCTCAGAATAATCACAGCATGAATATCAATTATTTCTACTTTTAATGAAGTGTAATTCATGTATTTAGCCTTAAATAGTATAGAACTTATAATTTCTCCTTCAGTTTGCGCATTGAGGCTGACGTCATGCTGTCTATGCATCAAATTAATGCCTAATTTTGGTGTGAATCGGATCACGGCAAGTCATTATGTTAAATGCATTTTCATAAAAAATTAACAGAGTTAGAAGCTGAAATTAATACACCAGGTTCCTGTCATGGATATCTATCATCCCTGTGAGTTGGCTGATCATTCAGGATTCACGATTTTAGACATGTTCAGATATGTAAAAAAAATCGTCAGTCAGGTCAGCTAAAGGTTCAACATCATAAAGCATCAAGTAAAGCCCCGTGACGCATCAAAAATGGCTGACGTCATGCAGCCTATGCATTAAAGCTCCTTGACGCATGAAAATGGACGACGCTATGCTGCTAGCGTAAATTAAAGCACAGTTTCAGCCGCAAAACTCACTTTAAATTAACATTGAAGAGTGACCACTCGCTCTCAACACTTCTATTAATCAAAAATATACTCACATGACAAAGGGGAAAATCCTGTCCAGGTACTTTTCTTCTTCTTTCTGCATGTCACACCTACACATTCACAAACTGATGGTAGTGATCACTATGTAGTACCATCCATCAGAAGTAACTTATCCCATTCATACACCACCACTGAAGCAGAGAGAGCAATTCAGGGTTAAGTGTCTTGCCCAAGGACACATCGGACATGTTGCCCAGCTGGGGATCGAACCCTCAACCTTCCGGTTGAGAGGCGAGAGAGTTGCCCTCAGTGCAGAATACCCAAAATAATTTAATTAAACAAAAAGGCAGAAGGCAAACAAAAACTTGCTTTCCAAATGTTCAACGAAAATACATCGAGATCGAAAACAGGGTGCCACACAAGAGCACAAGGAAAACCCAACATAAAACACTGACAAATGACAATGAACTGACACAGAGGGCAAGAAACAGAGGCTAAATAGACACAGGGGTAATCAGACACAGGTGAGACTAACGACACAGGTGAAGACAATGAGGGCAATCAACACTGGAGGGAAACACACAGAGGCAGGACAAGAAACACTGAGGACAACTATGACATAAATACATGAAACACTGAAGACACTGTTAAACTCAAGAATGAAACATCAAGACACACTAGAACATAGAGGGACACAAGGATACGAAATTACAAAATAACACAGGAAACACTAAAGACTAAACTATGGAACATTAAACAAACACACGAGGGGAACAAGCAACGCCAGGGAACCCTAACCCTATTTGGAGTCTATTGGTACCAGTGGGCGCGCACTGTAGCTGTTCCCACTCAACGTTCTTGAAGCCAAAATACGCCGCTTAGGTGCGCTTCCATCTTGCAATTTTGACGTCATTTGGAGCCAGAGTCTGCACAGTAGGGTCCGGGGGCAGGAGCCCTGGTAACACGCCCCGCCCACTTAGCGTACTGCCCTGATGACTTACGCAGCCCAGCTACGCCGAAAGCGCTCTGCCGGTCTATGATGAAGAAATGTGTAAGTACAACAAACCACCGTATTCAAAGTCTAATATTTAAACACACTGTGTTTTAATGTTTTAAAATCCAGTTATTTTGATCATTATTGAAAATACGTGGGCTGCTGGGTCCTCTGTTTTTAATGAAATCGTTCTATATTTAAGCTATATTTAAGCTAAGTTAGCACCACAGACCGTAGACTACAGGTGGTAAGATATGTTGTATTTTGTTAGAAACTGATAGTCTGCAATGTGATTCATGTCTGATTTTCTAATATATTTAAGTGAACAGTAAATCAATCGTTTTTTGTGTCTTCATTTAGGCAAAGAAGAGATAAAAGCAGCTGGTCTGACATCTTCCACAGAGGTGAAGTGTAAGTTAAAATCATCTGTTAAAAGTTTATATCCTGTGATTGTTTTGAAGTTTCATAAGAGGATTGTAAAAACAAGCTATTGTTAACAATACAGTCTTCTAAAAATAAAAATAACAGAGTCATACACCAGATAAACGTTAAATAGAAAGGTGATGTTTTCTTTTCCATTTTACAATCAACAGAACCTAAAAATGACTCATTTCAACCTTCATCTGCACACCTGTTACAGAGGTCAGTCTGGGGTCACATATTTTGAAGGAACCTCCTCCTTTTTTCACCTGTGCTTGAACTAAGAGCTGTGCCAGATGCCCTGCTCATCCACTGTGGGAGAAATGACCTTACACCAGCAGCTCTCCCAGATGAAGAGTCCTCTCTGCCATCACCCAGAGGAGCTGATCGACGTCTGAAGAAGGTGGACAGAGTCTGGTGCTTTGTGACAGTGAACAGTGAGAAGGCTACCATAGTCATCCTCAGATAAAACACAGAGATCCTGGTCAATATTTAATTTATTTTTCTTAACACAATGTTGCCCTGTGTTTGAAAGGCCAGATGCTGGAGGGTTGTGTTGGATTTGCTTTTCCATCATATTTTAACAGTCAAACAATTATCCAGGATCTCTATACTTTATTTGATTTTTGTTGGGATTTCTTTGTTCAATTATTTTTTTATACTTTCTCCTATGTTCCAGCAGTTGTACCTGATGGTCTCCCTTACTTATTTTCCACATGAAGCCAGGGGTTGTTTATTGAAGATTTCTTTTCATAAAATGTTTAAATAAACTTTTTATAAATCTGATATGACTGTCTCTGATTAACTGGAGCACTGCAAAGTATTGGTCACAGTAAAATAATTTAGCAGTTAAGTTTATAGTTCACATTTGAAAAGGCCATGAACTGACATTAATTTCTTCTTGACCAACAACAACTAAGACAACAGCAAAGCTAACAGACGAGCTCAGCTTGTCACAGCCGGGCTCGTCTGAGATAAATGGCCTTCAAACTTATTTAATATTAAACATTTAAAGCCAATAAGCATAGCAAGATACGTATGAGATTCAATTTCCATTCATTCAATCACACACTTGTCAAACAGTCTGGCATTTTGTGCTGCTGTTTTCAAGAGTTAATAACTGAAGAGAAGAAGACCATCGAGAGAGGACAGGAAACGCTCAGGGGACGAGTCCTCCATGTTGTCAGGGGTTGCTGATGGATCTGAATCTGAGAGCATCTTCTGTAATAAAGAAAAACAATCATGGAGCTAAATGTAAAGTATAATGAATTTTACTGTGATGTTTATGCCTCAGACCTGAAATCAGATCTGTCCTGAGGTTCTGCTAAACTTCAGCTTCTAAAGTTTGTTTTTAAGACAGGAGAACTATTTATGAGACATGATGATCAGCTTTATGAATTTATGTTTTAAGACAAGTGTTCCTGACACTTTCTTTTGAAGATTATTGTAAACTGTCATCACATGGGCCAGCCTGATAAATTAAACTAATGTTAAATATTCTCATATAATCAGACAGCCAATTTGTGTGCAGAACCTCACCGGAGCTGGAATCAGAGTCTGGACTGCTGTTTCCTTTGGGCATTGATTTCCTTGAAGACAGAAAGAAGAACAATTTAAACATGAACTTCTTGCAGAACCATAGAGGTTGTTAAAATCTTCTGCTAGTCTTCCTTACATTTTAGGAAGGATTATAAATTGTTACTAAAATTACTTTGATGCCGATAGCGGTTACAGTAACACGGTCCAATCATATGAGAGATAATTTTACCTTTGAGTCCTATGTGAAGGCGTTCTCTTCAGAATCAGCACTACAAAGACCAGATGATGGCGTCCACCTTCACAACGTGCTGCTTCAGTCTGGCTACATCATGGTCACCTACAGGAACACCACAGAAATACAATCAAAGTACTTCAGTTTATTTATCAGAGGATGTACTGTCTGCAAAGTAGAATTTTTTTAGCTGTAATTCCTCAAAAAGATTCGAGACTGCTTTGTTATTTGAGAGCACAGATTGTTTCTTTTCCCTTCTCTCTGTTTGCCTGTACATGACCTTTTAGTGCTGTAAAAGATGCTACAGTAAATCCTGGATCAGCTGTATGGATGGTGTGACTGTGTGGTAAAGCTTTGTTAAAGTTGTCACGCACATACTCATATGCCTTTGGAGAGTAAAAGTGCAGTGTGGTGGCAAACTGCTTATAAAATATAAAATAGTATTTTATTGGTGAGGTGCCCCAATCAAAGCGTCCTGCAGAGTAGCAGCAGCTTTAGAGGGAGGAGACGAGCGCGTTATGGAGAGGAGCGCACCGGAGGGGGCGAGCTGGGGGAGAGACGTGCGACCCGCGAAAAAGGAAATCCCTGTTTAAAATATAATGTTGGTGAAAAGAGGGAAATAGGACGACATAAATGTCAATGTTGAAATTCTTTTGAATGCAGAGGCTGTGGATGTTCAGTTTTCTTTGGCTAAGGCAACAATAGCCTGTAGTTTAATCCTGGTGTTTCTCTTCGTTAACGATTATTGAAGCGAAATCAAAAATAAATGCATGACATTTAATTTAATTTATTGTGCCTATCTCTCCTCCTAACTAACGTAACAGCAGCATGTTGTGTGTAACACTGGTCTCCTGCATTAACACCTTCCTTTCAAAGGTGATAAATACAGATACACAGTCACAATCACCGCAATGTTTGTCAGGTTTTGTCAATTTTTAGAACAATTTCTCAATAAGCGTCATTAAATTTACAATATGATCAACTTGTGACTGTTGAATTGGTCGTGTGTGGAAGACAATGCAGAATATTTAGCATGTTTAAGCAGCATGATGCTCGGTTAATATTACATTACACCGCCGCCGCCAGATTACAATTATGTGACTTTTTTTTTGCCCTAGATACTTTTGAGACTTTACCAGACTTATTTATTTTTACTGTAAAATAACTGTACAGTCAATGAACCGCATCTATGAGCGGATTTTATATTACGATTCTTGGTTTTAAATACAATTTCAATCACAATAACGATATAACTATATCAAGAAACATAGCATGTCAGTTATTAGGTTTGCTCATTTTAAAAAATAAAATAAAAAGATAAATCATGCCGGTTAAGTAACCTAGCTTTACAACATTTCAGCTAACCTTAGACTGCTTATGTGTTAGCTAGCTAGATAACGACTTTAACCAATGACACATAAATCACACTTTTTACTTACCAAAAAATCTGCAAAGATCCCTTAGATCCCTCAGGTCAGTTAGAACAGTTTACTGCAGAACAACTCATTTTGCCAGCTCAAAAAAGACGAAAAAACTGAACGGAAAAATTCAATGGCGTCTTGGCTTTCCTTCACTTCGTAACTTTTGTTATTCACAAAGAGTGCTACGCAAGATCGGCGGCTGTCAATCATCGTCAAATATGACGTAAAATCCCGTTTTTAAACCTCAAATAACTTATTTAAAACAAACTTCACCGAAAAATGAGCACTCGAACACAATGTAGGGTGATAATAACTAATGATCACAGCAGAGTTTAGGTTTGGAAAAAAATTATGTGACGAGTATTTTAACTTTACAGTTTGACCCACATCCCATATCATTGAGGAGGCGGGGTTTATGACCTTTACTGCAACCAGTCAGTAAGGGGAGCTCTAAAAATAAAAGCTTCACTAGACCGGGGACCTTGTCCTGTCCATTATTTTTACAGTCTATGATTGGTACCCACTTTCTTGTGTTGTTTCTGTGAAATGACTT